GCTGTGGCCGGCCACGTCTGTCGTCGTCTGTCATCACACGGCTTCTCCTGTGTCCCTCCTGTTCTTATAAGGAACGGGTTATAGGACTTAAGGCCTCCCCGACCTAGTGTGACCTCATCTTAACCCAGTCACAACTGCAAAGACCCCATTTACAAACAAGGTCCCACCCATCGGTACTGACGAGGAGTGAGGGTATGGGCGTGCTTTGGGGGAGCACCATTCACCCCAGTACGGAGGCGAAGGACACAGGCAGGGCCCTGGGACAGGGTCAGCACCTCTCGAGCCCTCCCTACCCCCCGTAATAATAAGCCCCACCAGCATTTCTGCACAGGAGGCTGCCCGGATCCAGCCCACAAACCCACTGACTGGACACCGGAGTGGGTCACAGCCCCAGGGACACCCCCGCCTGCCAGGATTCACCACACAGCCGGCTCCTCCTGCCACACCCCTGACCGCCCCCTGCCCACTCTCCTGCTACCACTGGGGATGCGGCCTTGGCCTGGGGTGGGGGGAGGGGACAGGTGCCCCTTGTACGCACATTGTCCCCACCCCTGCCTGTGTTTGGGGAGAGGAGTGCCATTGCAAAGAGGAAGGGCCGTCCCCCCCGAACTTGCCGGGAGATAGCCCCCAACCTCAGTGCCCTCCCTGATGAGCCCCCGCCACAGCTCAACTCTGCAGGGCGTGGCATTTGCCAGAGAGGTCCCGGAAGGAGGGGCGCAGCCACCAAGAGTGCCCGCCCGCCAGGAAAGGGAAGGTGTTGACCGGAGCTCCCAGCTGCCCTGGCTGCCAGCCCTGCAGGGGCCACACAGGGTCCAGGAGGAGGCGTGGCATGCAAGGGCTTGGTCCTATTCCAGGTCCTCCTAGGTGTCTCGGGTAGGGCCGGCCCGCAGGGTGGCAGGGGCCCAGCTGCAGCCGGAGGTGCCAGGAGCAGGCCGCCCCTCCCCTGCAGTCCTTCCGGGCAGGAGGGGCCAGTGCCTGCCACGCCTAGGCACACGGGACAATACTGTCCCCAGTGCTGTGAGATGGTCCTTGTGGCCCCTCCAGGCCAGCTCAGCCCAGAGCGAACCGGGCCAGGGCTGTGGGCGAGGAGGGGCGCCCAACTGTGGACAGATGTGAACCTGGAGGGGCAGCCCGGGGGACGGGTCATCTGTCAGCGTGCGGCAGGTGCTGGGTCCGGGAGCCTGCCCGGGCCCTCTCCACCCTGAGAACCGACACCAGGCTGCCCGTCCCTGGTCTGGTGGCCCAGGCGGGGCCGGCTTTACGCTTTTTGTTAAACTTGCGGTTTATCAAAAGCGTTGTTTTTCATTCTGCCTGTTTTTTTTTTTTTTTAATTGAGGTGAAATTCACAGAACATAAAATAAAGCATTTTCATCTGAACAAGCCAGTGGCATTTAGTAAACTCACGAGGCATGACCACCAGCTCTTGCGAGCTCCAGAACGTGTTCGTCACCCCAAAGACACTCACTGCCTGTTTCTCTCTCCTCCCGCCCCGGGCGAGGACATCTGCTTCCTCCGGTCTCTGGAGCTGCCTCTCCCAGGCACTTTGTACAAATGGAGTCGCACGCTGAGTGGCCGTTGTGACTGGCTCCCTCCACCCGGCGTGGCTGTCGAGGTTCAGTGAGCCAGCGACAGTCCACCATGGACGCACACGCCGAGGGGGCCAGCGCCTCTGTGGGGACAAGGCCAGCGTGAGAGTGGACGTGCAGGGCGGTGGCCGCCCAGCTTGGCGGCGAGCCCGAGGGTAACCTTTCGGGGGACGAACTCGGCCTGCCCGTGGGATCGTCCAGCGTTCGTTTGCCCTGATGCTCCCTCCCACTCTCACGAGCGGGACACACAGCCCCTCCTGCAGACAGACGCACATCGAAACGGTGTCTCTAATGACAAACGTAACGTGCGGGGACCTGCGCGGGGTCCGGCAGCAGGTGGCTGGCCAAGGAAGTCACTGGAGCGTCCTCAGCGCGCCCGCCTAACACGGAGCTGGGTGAGGCTGCAGCCACACGGAGTGACGGGGCCACGCGATAACCGTCCCCAGGGCAGAAGCAGGTCGCAGTGCGCTGGAGGGTGGCGGCCGGGGCGGACACGGCAGAGAGGGGAGCTGGGGTGCGGGGTGGGAGGAGGCGGCTCCAGACGCTGTCCTGTTGTCGTTGGGACACACAGCGAGTGGATGGCGAGGCCCCGCTCCCCAGGCAGGCTGCGGCTGGAAGGGCCCTGGGTGGTGCGTCTCTCTCTGGTCCCCCTGCCATTCCCACTCTGATGACTGCTCTACCCAGGGAGAAGGGCCAGCCCCGCCGGAGTCACACAGCCCTGCTCCCTGTGCCAAGCGGAGCCATCCTGGCCTGAGAGGGACCTCCCCTTCCTCCCCTTGTCTCTATGGCTAGCCCCTTGCAGGGACCCAGGGACAAAGGACAGCTGCCCAGCCTGGCTGCTTACCAGAGGAGGCCCACGGTCCAGTGTCTTCTGCTGTCTTCTTGGACATTCGGGCCAGCCCGCATCCCGAGTGACCCTGGCAGGCCCAGCCGGCCGTCTCCAGGACCACCACGGCCCCTCACCTCCGTGATGCCAGCAGGCAGGGGACGTTTGTGCAACTTTTGTACCACAGACAGAAACTCTGCCTGTCCTCCCCACCCCCACACCAGGCTCAGGGAGGCCAGGCACTGCTGATGGTCGGTCTGCCCAGCCCTGTGTGGACGTGCCAAGTGCTAGGGAGCCCCTGGGGGCCACTGGTGCCAGGCTGGAGTCCCCGGGAGGGGTGGAGGGACAGCTGCAGCCCTAGTTGTAAACAGGCCTGGTGGCCGCAGGTATAAAAGCCGGATGCCCCGCAGCCTCTCAGCAGCCCAGCCTGACCTGCCTCCTGGGTCCTCGAGGAAAGCTGGGCAGAGGTGAGCCCTGCTCGGGGAGAGGTGGTGGGAGCCAGCGGCCTGGGCTTCACCCGCGGGGTAATGGGAGGCCCTGGGGGCTGTAGGGACCCCAGCGAGGTGCAGCGGAGGCAGGAGAAGGAGCAGGGAGTGGAGGGGCAGCCCTGAGGAAGCTCCAGGCCAAGGGCAGCTTTGTGTGCCCGGTCCGCAGCGTGGGCCGGTACGGGCCTGCCCGTGGGGCCGTGAGCCGGGGCCAGCTTCGGCTGTGGAGCGCAGGGAGATGGGAGGGGAGGCAGAGAGGCCTTTTTGAGGGGAAGGGTGAGGGGACGAGGCCCTTCCAGGCACTGGGAGAACCCCGGGAGGCTGGGCAGGGGGCTGCAGCCTCCCCTCCCAAGGCCACCGCTCTCCCTGGCGGAACTTGCCAAGTGAGCCTCCAGCCCAGGCCCTAGAGCAGCGCCCACAGCAGCCCCAGGCCCCGCCCACCCCCATCTCCCGGGCATCCCTACCTTTGTGGCGGGGAGAGGGGGCAGAGAGCAGCCCAGACAGATGTCAACCCTGGATTCTACCAGACCTGGCTGGGACTTGGGCCAGCCCCCCGGAGGCGACACTGACCTCTGGCAGGTTCCGAGTGGCAGGCAGGTGTCCTCTCCCTCCAGAATGAACCCCGAGATGCTGGGGTGGGAGAGGAGAATCAGGGCTCAGCTCAGGGTGTGGGATGGTGGGACCTGTCTTATGGGCCCCTGGGGCCCAGGCCTGCCCTCGATCCCACTGACCATCCAGCCCGCCTCCCATGCGGGCCGCAGCAGTTGATCATTAGGGGTGATGTGTGGGGACCCAGCTCTGGGCCCACTGCAGGTCTAAAGCCCTTTCCCCAGCCTCTGCCTTCCCTCATGGCTCCTCGTGTGACCCCGTGAAGTGGGCAGACAGGAGTCGGCCCACTTCACAGGTGAGGAGCCAGAAGCCTAGAGCGGCTGGGGGAGTCGGGGTGGGAGGCAGGGCCAGTCCCGGGGGTGTGTCCAGTGCTCCTACTCCCCAGGAGGTGGCCAGGGGTGGGCACGACTTTCAACTGGTGGCTTTTCCACTGGGAGGAAAGTGGAGACTCCTGTGGCCACTGCCCCGCCCCACTAAAACCCACAGGCCACTGGGCTGCCCCTCCCCGGGGCGGGAGTGTGTTCCAGGAAGCTCCACCACCCCATGAACTTTCGAGAAGGCCAAGGAGTCTCTGAAATAGCTTCTTTGCCTCGAGCCCCAGAACCCAACGCCCCCTGGGGAGAGCAACCTGAGAGCTCAGCAGGTCACAAGGTGCTGCCATGAGGGGCACAGGACAGCCTGGTCCTCGACTGCTGGCCCCTCGCCTGTGCCCAGACCCCCACCTGCCCGGCTGGAACCCCTGCCTGTCTCAGTGGCACCTGCCCAACACTGAGGGACAGTGACATGTGCACCTCCTCAGGGGCCGTGGGCGGATGCACCTCAGGCTGGCCCTGCGGAAGGCCTGGGGAAGGAGCAGCAGCCACCCTGCTGGGGTGAGGTTCTGGGCCTTGCTCGGTCCAGGGCCAGCTCCAGGCCAGCCATGCCCAGCACACACCCCCACAGGGGCTCAACGTCCTGCCAGGACTAATGGGGCCCACTGGGCTGGGGTCTGGGACAGTGAGGCCAAGGCCCTGGGCCTTGGGTGTCAGCCAGAGGAAGCGGGGCTTCGGGTAACCAGGAAGGCTTCCCAGAAGAGGCAGATTTGAGATGGGCCTTGAAGGACGGGGGCTGTCGCCGGCAGCACCGAGGGATCAGACCGTTGCCGCCTCCACCTCTTCTGAGCAGGGGGAGGGAGCTCGTGCACAGCACCTACCACCTCAGACCCTCAGGCCCTTCTGTGATGTGGGGGTCACACCTCTAGCAAGAGCTGGGGGCTCAGACTCGTCTTCCTCAGGGCCCTGGGCGCAGGGGCACCTGCGAGGCCAGGAGCCCCGAGGGTGCTGGACGGCTGACCCCTCCGGCTGCCTTCTGCAGCCCTGGGGCAATGGGGGGTCTGGTCTGGGCCCCTGGGGACCCCACTTGGGAGGCAGGAACCGGCACCATGCCAGGTCCAAGCAGAGCCCCTCCTGCTGTGCACGTCCACCCAGCTGGCCCCCTGTCCACCACAGAACCGGGATGGACAAGGACTTCTCCTCCCAGATGAAGAAGATGGCCCTGGCTATGGGCACGGCCCTGTCGGACAAGGACATCGAGATGCTGCCCACGGACATGAGGCACCATGGTACAGCCCTCTGCCCCCGCTGTCCCCTGCCCCCGGCCAGCCCGGCCACAGCTTAAGGAGCAGAGGACACAGGAGCCCGGCCACGAGCTCCCGCTTCCCAGGGCTGACGGGCCCCAGACACACAGGGGAGGGACGGCCCTGGCACCCCACCCCAGGGCAGGGATCCCCCCCAGGCCTCGCACGAGGCAGCCCCGCCGACCCGCACCTGTCGCCCCAGGCTCCTTCAACTATCTCAAGTTCTTCGAGTACATGCAGAAGTTCCAGACCTCAGGGCAGCTGGAGGGCGCCATCCGCAAGGCCTTCCAGGCCCTGGACAAGGACAAGAGCGGCTTTATCGAGTGGAACGAGATCAAGTAATAGCCATAGCAGGGGACGTGGGTGCTGAGCCCTGGGCCCCCTGCCTGGTCCACGTCACCGTGCCCACCCCAGCAGACCCAGTCCCCCCGCTCCAGCGGGCCCCCCCTGGCCTTGCAGGAGGCAGGGCCCAGCAGCCCAGGCCAGAGGGACAGCACCAGACCAAGCCTACTTGGCACCTGTCTCCAGTTGGGCCTGTCTCCCCATCCGCAAAGTGGGGGGCAAGCACCTTATAAACCAATGGGCCACAGAGCGATGGCCCTGGCTCTGACCCAAGCCTGCCCCGCCAGGTATGTCCTATCCATCGTCCCCAACAGCGGGCCTGCTGCCCCGCTGACAGACGAGGAGGCCGAGGCCGTGATCCAGGCGGCTGACACCGACGGGGACGGGAGGATCGACTTTGAAGGTGCGCGGCGCTGACGAGGGTGTCTCCAGGGACCTCCCTGGCCGCCCTCCAGGGCCCGGGCCCCATGGCCACCTGCGCCTGGGCAGGCTGCCCCGTGTCCATCGCCCGTCTCGGGGTACAGCCGAGCGGCTCCCCACTGCTGGGCGTGGACCTTCCCCTGAAGCTTGTGGCCGCCTGCGGTGGACACCATCGGCCCTGACTCGCAGACAGGGAAACAGTCTCAGGGACGCGGAGTGGGGCAGGGTCGAGGGGCTGCTGCAGGTTTCTGAGCGGCGGCCTGAGCAGCTTTGGGGAAGGTCACCTGGGCAGCCTCAGGCTGGGGGTCAGTGGTAGATTAGCCTGAGAGGGGGGTGCTCTAAGGGGGAGCAAGACCAGGGCCTGAGGTGGATGGGAAAGGAAGTGGGGTGGGCTGAAGGCTGCAGCCCCAGGGGAATGGGTGTGGGTGGGTGAAGGGAGGGGGGACTACGGGCTGCCCTGGGGTCTGCACTATCCTGCCCCTCCCCCACCCTCTCCAGCTGCTGGCCCTGGGCCAGAGAGCAGCCAGGTGACCCTGGGTAAGGGAGACCACAGGCTCAGACTGGCCTCCAGACACCCCTGCCAGCTGCAGGCCCACCCTCCCCCCGGGGCCTCCGCTTCCCGCCGGCAAATGCCAGCATCTCCTGACGTGGGGTGGCCGCAAGGTTGAGCAGGCCAAGAGCTTTCTCAGGACTCAGCCCTCAGCCTCTCTGTGTCAGTGTCCCCACTGAAGGCAGGATGGTCACAGGAACACCTGCTCAGAAGGCTCTGAGGGGGACTCAGGTCCCCACGGAGACCCGGTCCACCTGAGCCCCGAGGGGTTGGCTCAACGCCCCAGGCACGCAGGCAGCCGTCTGCTCCCCCTCGCTCCCTCCTCAGGGCTCAGGCCCCTCTCCCCTCCCTCGTAAGTGGGGCACGCCTGCCCCCGGGCCTGTAGGGCTGGGGGGCGCACAGGGCAGGGGGTTATTTACTAGAAATCTGTCTCCTATTCTAGAATTTTCTGAACTAATCAAAAAAGAAAAATTTCCAAAGAAGAAGTAGTGCCACGCCCAGCCTTGGCCGGCGAGGGCCCTGGAGGGGCAAGTGGGGCCACACGCGTGCCCGGCGAGGAAGCCGAAGGGGTGGGCACAGCCCGTGCCGGGAAGATGGAAGAGAAACATTAAATGAACGACGTGGCCCGTGCATCTGTGTGCGTGCTGCGCGGGCTGTGTGGGAGCAGGGTCTCGGGTCTCTGGGGACAGCTGGTGGCGGGGCGGGTGTGCGGGGTGCAGAAGGGAAAACGGGAGGCTGTGTGGGCGGGCACATCCCGCCCCTGCCCCTGCCCCTGCCCCGTCCCCAGCTCACTGCGGGTTCCCACGGAGGACAGTCCCACCACCAGGCTCTGGCCCCTCCTGGCGCCAGCCTCCCAGCACAGAGCTCTCTGGGCCCAGGCCCCTGAGGCCCCCTCCCCCAGCCCAGCCGGGCTCTGCTCAGGCTTCGAGCCGGGCTGGAGTCCACACAGCAGCGCGTGAGCACCTACGGCCTCAGGGTGCGGCCAAGGAGCCCTGGCACGTCCCCTGGGCCATGCACTCCGGGCCGGACACATCTAGGGGGTGGTTCTCTGCCCGTGCGTCCTGCCTCCCCTGCCTCACCTTGGTGGCCCTTCTCCCCATGCTTT